CAGGTCCTCTGCCCGTTTTTTAATCAGATCATTTGGTTTTTGCTATTGCGTTGTGAGTCGTGTATATATTTCGAATATTAATCTCTTATCAGATACATGATTTGAAAATATTTTTCCCCACTCAGTAGGTTATTTTTTCATTTTGTTGATGGTTTCTTTGCTGTGTAGAGCTTTTTAGTTTGATATAGTCCTACTTGTTTATTTTTGCTTTTGGTGTCAAATCTAAAAAAATTATTGCCATAACCACTGTCATCACCATAACTGATTTGAAGGGGTGTGTCCAAGAGCGGTGGGTTTTGAAATTACCACCTATGTTTTCCACTAGGAGTTTGTTTTCAGGTCTTACATTCAAGTGTTTCATCCATTTTGAGTTAACTTTTCTGTATGGTATAAGATAATGGTCCATATTCATTCTTTCGCATGTGTTTATTAGAGAGACTGTCCCTTTCCCATTGTTTGTTCTTGGCTCCTGTGTTGAAATTAATTAACCATATATGTGTGGGTTTATTTCTGGACTCTTTATTCTGTTTCATTGTTGTATATGTCTGCTTTTATACCAATACTATAATGTTTTGATTACTATAGCTTTGTAATATAGTTTGAAATGAGGAAATGTGATGCCTCCAGCTTTGTTCTTCTTTCCCAAAATTGCTTTGGTATTTGGAGTCTTTTGTGATTACATTGCAATTTTAGGATTTTTTTTTTAGTTCTGTGGAAAATGCCATTAGTATTTTGATAGGGATTGCATTGAATCTGTAGATTGCTTTGCATAATTTAGACATTTTAATGGTATTAATTCTTCCAGTCCGTCAGTATGGTATGTCCTTCCATTTATTTGTGCCATCTTCAGTTTTTTTCATCAAGTTCGTATTGTTTTCAGAGTACACGTCTTTTACTTCCTTGGTTAAATTTATTCCTCGGTATTTTATTCTTTTTGATGCAATTGTAAATGGAATTGTTTTCTTAATTTCTCTTCCTTACAGTTATTAGTGTATAGAAACGCAACAGATTTTTGTGTAATGATTTCGTATCCTGCAACTTTACTGAATTCATTTATTAGTTCTTAGAGTTTTTTAGTGGAGTCTTTAGGGTTCTCTCATATGTCATCTGCAAATAGTTTTACTTCATCCTTTCCTATTTTGATGCCCTTTATTTAATAACTTCTTGTCTTAACTGCCGTGGCTAGGACTTCCAATACTGTGTTGAATAAAAGTGGTGAGAGTGGGCATCCTTGCCTTGTTTGAGACCTTAGAGGAAAAGCTTTCACCTTTCCACCATTGAGTATAATGTTAGCTGTACACTTATTATATGTGGCCTTTGTTATATTATGTTCCCTCTATATGTACTATGTTGAGAGTTTTAATCATAAATGGATGTTGAATTTTGTCAAATGCTTTTTCTGCATCTATTGCAATTATCATATGATTCTTATACTTCATGTCATTAATGTGTTAATGCATTGATTTGTGGATGTTGAACTATCATCACATCCCTGGAATAAATCCTACTTTATCGTGGTGTATGATCCTGTTAATGTCTTGTTGAATTCAGTCTGCTAATATTTTGTTGAGGATTTCTGCATCTCTGTTCATCAGGCAGATCGGCCTGTAATTTTCTTGTGACATCTCTATCTAGTTTTCTTATCAGGGTAATTTTGGCCTCATAAATGAGTGTGGAACTATTCCCTCTGCTTCCATTTTTTGGAAGAATTTGAGAAAGTTGGGTATCAGTTCTTTTTGGAACATTTGGTAGAATTCACCTGTAAAGCCCTCTGGTCTTGGACTTTTGTTTGTTGGAGGTTTGTGATTACTGTGTCAGTCTCCTTACTAGTAATACGTCTGTTCAGATTTTGTATTTCTTCATGATTCAGTCTTTGTAGGTCATATGTTTCTAGGGATTTATCTATTTCTTCTAGGTTGTCCAACTTGTTAGCATATAATTATTCATAGTAGTCGCACGATCTCTTTTATTTCTGTGGTATCAGTTGTAATATCTCCTCTTTCAGTTCTGATTTTATGAATCCCCCTTTCTCAGTGAGTCCAATTAGAGGTTTATCTATTTTGTTTATCTTTTCAAAGAACCAGTTCTTGATTTCATTAATCTCTATTTTTTTAAGTCTCTGTTTCATTTATTTCCTTCTACTAATTTGGGCTTCATTTGTTCTTCTTTTTCTGTATCCTTGAGGTGTAAAATTAGGTTATTTGAGATTTTTCTTGTTTCTCTATGTAGGCATTTATGAACTTCCCTCTTACAACTGTTTTGATGCGTCCCAAAAGCTTTGGTATGTTGTGTTTCCATTTTCACTTGTCTCAGTATTTTTTCATTTCCCTTTTGATTCTTCTTTGTCCCATAGGTTATTCAGTAAAATGTTTAAACCCCACATATTTGTGAATTTTCATTTGCTTGTAATCAAAGTTTCGTACCATTGTGTGGGAAAAGATGCTTCATATGATTTCAACCATTTTAAATTCATTAAGACTTGCTTTGTAGACTTCCATGTAATCTGTCTTGGATAACATTCCATGTGCACTTGAAAAGAATGTGTATTGTGTTGCTTTTGGGTGGAATGTTTTTTATATGTGTGTTAAGTCAATCTGGGTTAATCTGTCGTTTAAGGCCAATGTTTCCTTATTGCTTTTCTGACTGGATTGTCTATCCATTGATATAAATGGAATATTAAAGTCCCATACCGTGATTGTATTGCTGTCTATTTCTTCCTGTAGGGCTGTTAATATTTTCTTTTTATATTTAGGTGCTCCTATGATATAGTGTACATAATTCCAAATGTTAATAGCTTGTTGGGTTGATGACCCCTTTATCATTATTTAATGCCCTCTTTGTCTTTTATGACAGTCTTTGTTTTAAAGTCCATTTCATCTGATATAAGTATAGCTACCCCAGCTTTCTTTTGGTTTCCATTTGCCTGGGATATCTTTTTCCATCCCTTCACTTTTAGTCTGTGTGTGTCCTTACATCTGAAGTGAGTATCTTGTAGGCAGCATATAGATGGGTCTTGTTTATTTATTGAGCCACTATATATCTTTTGGTTAGAGAATTTAGTCCATTTATATCTAAAGTAATTTTTTATAAATATGTACTTATTGCCATTTTGGTTTTTTTTTTCTGTTTTGTAAGTCCTCTGTTCCTTTTTTCTTGCTCTCTTTGTGCTTTGATGACTTTTTGTAGTGGTAAGCTTAGATTCCTTTCTCTTTATCTTTTGTGTATATACTACAGGTGCTTTGTGGATACCATGAGGCTTACATATAACATCTTTTATTTCTAACAGTCTATTTCCAGTTGATAACAACTTAAGTTTAAATGCTTTCTAAAGCTCTACACTTTTACTCTCTCCCCCAACACTTTGTTTTTGATGTCACAATTTATATCTTTTTATTTTTACTTCTTTTTTCTTTTGACCTTTATCCTAGCTTTATATATGATTAACCTACCGTCATTACTATATATTTACCTTTTCCAGTGAGAATTAATACTTTCATGTCTTCTTGAAAACACCCATTCTTTTCAACATAAAGATATCCTTTTAACATTTCTTGTAAGGCCAATCTAGTTATGTTGAACTCCTTTAGCTTTTACTCCTCTGGAAAACTTTTTCTCTTCAATTCTGACTTCACCAGGTAGTATATTCTTGATTGGAACTTTTCTTCATTCAGGACTTTGACTGTATCGTGCTGCTACTTCCTGGCCGCAAAGTTTCTGCTGGAAAATCTGCTCATGGCCCTATGTGGGCTCCCCTGTATCTAACCAGTTGTTTTCTTCTTGCTGCTTTTAAGATTCTCTCCTTGTCTTTAACTTTTGACATTTTAATTATGATGTGTCTGGGTGTGGGTCCATTTGGGTTCATCTTACTTGGAACTCTCTGGACTTTTTGGATCTGGATGTCTGTTTCCTTCCCTGGGTTAGGAAAGTTTTCAGCCATTATTTCTTCCAACAAGTTATGTTCCTCTTTCTCTCTCTTTTCTCCTTCTAGGACTTTTCTAATGTGAATGTTGGTCTGTTTGATGTTGTCCTATAAGTCCCCTAAGCTGTCTTCACTCTTTTTTTTTCATATCCTTTTTCCTTTTTGCTGCTCTGATCAAGTTCCATTACCTTGTCTTTGAGTTTACTGGTCTCTTTTTTTATGCTTCCTCCATTCTTTAGCTCTGTGACTTCTATTTAGTACTTTCCGTATATTTTCTCTTCATTGAAGTTCTCACTTTGTTCATCTGTTCTTCCAATCTCGGTGAGCAACTTTATGACAATTATTTTTAACTCTTGATCAGGTTAATAACTCCCATTTTATTAAGGTTTTTTTCTGAGGTTTTATCTTGTGTTTTCGTTTAAAACGTATTCCTCTGCTTCTTCATCTTCTTGAACTCTCTGTATTGGTTTCTGTGCATTACATGAAACAGCCTCCTCTCCCAGTCTTGAAGGAGTGGCCTCATGTAAGGGATGAACCTTATCATTCACACCTGCCCTCACTGTTTTCTCTGAAACCTTGCTGACGTCCAAGCAGCAAACTTTATTTTTAGTGACTCTCCGTAGTTGAGGGTGCGCCAAGTCCCGTCAGGGTCCCAGAGAGGGGCATCTCAGTCAGCACCTAGATTCAGACACCTGGAAGTCAGAGCCTCTGGGAGCAGCTTTTAAAGTATGCAAATATATGTAGTCCTGTGGGACCACAGCATAAGCCCTGCTAGTCACCAGATCCAGATAATCTAGAGGTGCCATAAAATTGGGGTGCCAGATGAATATATAAGCTTCTGGGAGATGCTGGTGACTGAAGTACGGCAGAGGAAGAGAGCAAAGATGGCACCCATCAGCCCCTTTATAGGCCAGCCCCCAGTTGTGTGCCAAACCTGAAGCCTGCCACTAGGCCAAAGCTCTAGATCAAGCAAATAAGCTTCTTTCACAGGAAGACTGGAGTCTGTTTTAATCTGCTGTCTGTACATTGCATCGATGTGATATCCTGCCAAGAAATCTCTCTCCAGTTGTTACAGTTCCATGGGACACAGGAATGCAAGCCTGCTGGTCACCAGAGCCAGGCAATCAAGGGACATCCCATGGGTGGCAGCCACAAAAACCAGGGCACCAGATGTGTGTAAAAGCTGCCCTATTGGATCTTTGTTAAAAATACAGATTCCCCAAAACCTCCTGAATTTGAATGCAAAGATATATTTTGGGAATTAGTATTTTTACCAAACATTCTAGCTGCTGTTATGATTGGGTAAATTTGGCTAACAGTAGACTAGTTATTTCTTAGAGATGGTATCCACTAGCTCCTTCCACCATAAGAACCTAGGCATGTCTTTGTTCGTTCTCTGTCTTTCCGAGGCTGTGAGGATACTGCCTGCGGTGTCAACCTCTCATTTGTTGACTCATTCATTCAGTGAGTAAGTAAGTATTATTTTAAGAAAAGGCATATTGATGACGGGGCACTACCATGTTCTTGCCTTTGGTTCATAAATGCCGTTTGCTTTGTGACCTAACTAGATCCCAATTTTATTAAGGCCCATATTCTGTGAATACGGATTTAAATTTGTTCTTTTCCTTTCCCTCTCTGTCCAGCTCTATTTTAAAGTTCTGTACCTGCTGTGACCCAGCACAGCAGACACCTGTTATGGAACCTGTGTTCCCGATTGTTTATTATTCACGTGGCTATAACCCCACCTTGCTTCTGCCCCCCACCTTTTTTCTAGGAATCTGTGTCCATTTATACCCACACCTCCTTCTTTTTCTTCTCAAAGCAATATTTTCTTTAAATCTGCTACTTGCCCAGTTTGCTTTCTCCTGGAATCATTTGTGAGCTCTCAGCTCACTCTAATGAATGTTCCACCATCATCTCCACCCTGCTGTTTCCTACCTCACCCCTGGCAGACATCACTCGGGGATCATGTCAGCCTTCCCTTCTCCCTCCCCGCATCTGACTGCAGCTTGAGTCTGATTTCTCTTTGCTCCAGAAGGTCACCCCCAAAGAACCAAAAATGACACATAAAATGTCTACTTTTTACCATCTGGACTCTAGAAAAAACCTCCTGGTAGTGACCTAATATGCCAGAAACCTCTACTCCCTTTCATCCCCACATGGGGCCACTCTCTCCTGAAGTTAATCGCTCCTACAACTTCCTGCCTACCTTGAAAGCTTCTCTTATTTCTTGGCATATTTTTAACCCCTGCAGCCATAAAATAAAACCTTTGCGAAGGCTTCTCTGCATGTGTCATGTCAAAGTAGGCTCTGACTTCTGGAAGCTTACATTCTAAGAGAGTAGCCCAGAACCCCACCCATCCACCCCCAGTCATTGGTCAGCTGAGGAAGCCTGGGGTTAAAGGCCCAGCCTTGAGGAAGGGAAGCAGCAAGGCTCCTTCTCCGAGCTCCTTCCCATCACGTCTTCATGCCTTCCTGACAGTGGGGCAGCAGCGCAGTGATCCCTCGTCCTGCGCGGTCCTTGTTGGGCTGATCCCTCAGCCCTGACCTCGTGTGGTGTTGCTACCACTGAAATGTGTTCGGGCGGTAGGGGGAGGTGACTTCTTTTTCCCCCACACTAGAAATTTGGATCCTAGCAATAAAAGGGCAGAAGGATTGTGAATGACACACAAAATTGTCCGTTCCACCTACTTACCCTTGGTGGGAGCAAGTTTAAATAGAACTGAGATATTTAATATCTGGCGAATTTGTTGATTTCCATTTACTCATAATTTTGCTAATTTTAAGCACATTAATAACTAGCAGCTGCACTTCAGAGCAGTTCTTTATGTAATTTGAAAGGGAAAACAAGCACTAAATATATTCTGGTTTACCAGGCTCATAATTGACAAGACTTTTTAACTCCTTGTAAACAGGTATTTCTGGAATCTGCTTACAGATTTTAACTGAGAGCTCCCCTTTTGGTTCTGCAATTTTAGTGTTACCGTCACATTCTGAGCGTGGCCCCTCTTGTGAAATTGCGCACTCTGCCCGTTTCCACCCCAGCTTCTGCCCTCTTGAGAGCATTTACATTTCATGAGCCCCACCAACCCTCCCTCTCTGTTCTCCGCCTACGTGAACTTGAGCGCTGGCAGCGTGCCCTCATATGGCATAGAGTGGCTCACGGTGCTGTTCCTCTCTGCCCCGGGCTAAGCACAGGTTAGTTGTCAGGATGGCTTAATATTTGTATTTTAAAAATTGTCACCTTAGAAGGGGCTCAGGACGTAGGACTGCTATAATCCAGAACTGACCCCGAGTTGCTTATCATGTCCTTGAGAAAAAGAAGGCCTCTTTATTCAGCCTGAATGCCTTGGCTCTGTGAGGAAAAGCAAGCCACTGGGCCCCACTGTAGACAGAGCTCCCACAAAAGCAGACATGTTGCCTTGGTGCAAAACTAACTTTTCCATGACTCACACTACTAGAAATGAGATAGTGGGAGGTTATAAAAAAATGATTTAGGACTGGAGAAAGCCAATTCATGGTTTAGCTCAGCTTAATAATGGCCATTGACGGCCTGCTAGACTAGAAACTGATTCTATGTAACAAATGACTTACAGATCCATTATGGTAACAGGAACTGAGTAAGCTCTTACGTGGTTCCCCTGTGGGCACAGAAAGTGTCTTATCCCTCGTCTCTTCTCGCAGGAGAGTTCTCAGCCTCTGACAGCTCCCTCACAGACGTGCAGGAGACCCGAAGGCCCATGCCCGACCCCGGCCTGATGCCCCTGCCGGACGCTGCTGCGGATTTGGATTGGTCCAACTTGGTGGATGCTGCCAAGGCCTATGAGGGTGAGTCCCAGGAAGATCTGAGCAGGGCCTGGCGGGGCCATGCTGAGGTGTGGGCGGCGTCAGTGTTCAGGTCAGGTCTGTTCACTCTGCTTCTTTGGGCACACTGACGGCACGTGCACTTCACCGGCACAGCCGGAGATGAATTGAGCTAACAGTTATTGAGCACTCAGCAGGGGTGCGCATCGTCTGATTTAATCAGATGGGGCCTGATGTTTCCTCTACGTAGGAATTCATAACATGATACCTGCGCCTCCCCCCACCTCCTGTCCCTTATATGAGAAGGGCAGACTGTAGGGGAATCCCAGCTGTCAGTGGACTGAAAAGAACATGGTCTTTCATCACGTCGTAAAGACATCATTGCTAAATACACAGTTGGGTCTGTTAGGATGCTCGCCCTGCCCCAGTCCGACAAATGTCAGGTGCTGCCTTTGCCCTTCTCATCCACCTCTCCCATGTGTGGTAGCACATTTTCTGTCCGCATTGTTCTCGTGCCAGCCCACTGGCTGTGCACCAGCCTTAGGCTGGTGGTTCTTAAATGCGGGTCCTTAGACTGGTGCTGACCTGGTTTGCTGACATATAAAAAATGTAATGCTGTCTTGTATGTTGGCATCAGGTTGCTAAGTGCCTTTTTTTTTTTTAAATAGACCGAGTTTATTCTAAGATTATCATTCCAAATTTCTGGTGTTAGTTAGTTATTTATAAAATAAGGATGATACCAGATGATTTGTTTAGGGTTTTTGTTTGTTTTTATTGCTCTTGAAGAATTGAAAGTAGCTATGCAGTCAAGCACCAATATTCAGGAGAAATTGATTAGGCCACAGAATTCAGAAGCTGGGCAACCATGAAGCAGTCAACAAGAAATCCCCATTTTAGCTGACGGCAGACCCCAGAACTAACTTCATTTTATTTTTTATTCACTTGATGTAATTTACATAACTTCCAGTTTTACATATTTGACCTCTTTTATCCCATCTAACTCCCCCTTCCCCATCCTTTCTGACTAGTCTATTGTCCATGTCTGTGAGTCTCTACTTGTTTGTCCTGTTCGTTTGTTGCTTTTAGGTTTATATCCCACATATAAGTGATATCATATGGTTTTCCATTTTTTTCTGTCTGGCTTATTTCGCTTAGCATGATTACCTCAAGGTCTATCCATGTTGTCGCAAATGGCAGTATTTCATCTCTTCATTTTAAATTTCAATTTTTTGGTCACTCTCCTGTGTGCGTGTGTATGTACATACACACATATAAAACGATAGAAGTTTTGTGTTTCTCATGGGAGGTTTTTAAAAATTTGATCTATTTCCTTGGCTTAACTTTTAAGTTGGTATATTTTGAAGCACATGTGGTGTGGACTTAGGTTAAAGCCCACCAAGGTGTCCAGGTGTCTTGTGGAAAACATATTTCAAGAAGCTTAATACTAGCCTTTAATGGATTTTTATATCATCACAGAGTGGAAAGCCTTGGTCTGGAAATTTGGTACAAGGCCTGTTTCCAGGGAAACATTTCACAGGATGCTACTTTGATGAGCAAGAGAAAAAGGAAGATTAAAAATTGATTTACAACTATTTTTTTAAAGGGAAATTACAATGGTACTATCTTCTTACAGCTTAACGTAGAATAATTTTTTCCTATGAAGGTTCCAGTGCCTCCCCGCACATTGATTAGACGACTGTCACTGTGGCCAGTTGCTGACTTGATATATAGGGCCCAGGATGTGTTTCCAAAATACTGAATAGTTTCTTATCTCTTTCCAGTCCAGAGAGCCTCATTCTTTGCTGCTAGCGATGAAAACCATCGCCCCTTGAGTGCTGCATCCAACAGTGACCAGCTTGAGGACCAGGCTCTGGCCCAGATGAAGTCCTATAGCAGGTTGGTCACCCAGTGGTACGGTCACCACTCTGCACCATGCTTCACCTACACTAGTGCCAGCAAATAGGACAGAGTAGATAGAGGCCACATGGATTAGCTAAATGAAGCTCATCACCGCAGAGCAAGGCACTTCACATTTTAGCTAGAACACTTTGTAACTTAATACTGTAAATGCAAACTGTCCTTGATGGCGTAAAGTCATAATTATGAATATTCATTGTTTAATGCCATAATACATTTACACCCTCCAGGATAATTAAGATAAACATCCCCAGATTCCTGTGCAGTATGTCCTTGAGACTGGTTTTTGAGTCTCTTCCTCAGCTTTAGTTGGTTATGTTGTAAACATGCCTGTGTCTTAGCAGCTCCAACATGCTTCTTTAGGTCGATACTAGATCTGGGTCACCAGGATAGTTAAGATTGTATGTAAAAGAAATAGCAGTAACTGAGGTCCAGAGAGTTTTATTATGAGTTAAGAAAACTGTTTAACTGTGCAGAGACTTTTTTCCCAAAATTTAAGTGGCGAGGGGATGGGCTATACATGTGATATTACTATACAGCAGTTCCTTGAATACCATTGACGAGATGCCATAGGAACTTAACTCTTGGTTATGTCAATTAGCCTGTGGTAAAATTAGTTGTTATACATCATTTCACTTAATGCCCTTGATAGGTTCTGCAACCTTGTGAACTTACTGTATATTAAGGCATCCCAGGAGTTAGCCATAGAACACAGTAATAAACACTTCTTGATGCAGAATAATTTCATCAATTTGAAACCTCTTCCCTTAAAACCTTTTGAGGGTGATTAAGAAGCCAGGTATCTATAAAACTTGGGCAGAAACAGACCATAACAAGAAAACTGAGGTTGGTATAGATTGTGCAAATATACCATGGGCTTATGCTTGAAGATTTCTCAGAGCAAATCTGCAAGGGAACACAAGATACTGCATTCATCTTTACCACTTGGACAGCTGGAAGAGTGAGTTTGGCTGCTAAGAACTTAAAAAAATTAGGGGTGGATGTGGCCCAAAATGTACCTTCTTAGAGTGGGGTCTCTAATAAGGACTTCTATATGAGCAAAGTCCATTTTCCTAAGAAAGGATTATTGAACAGTTTCTAAAGCTTTGTAGAAGCACAAGACAAATGTAATGACTGGCTCTTTCTTTGTTCAATATGGATGAACACATGCAGATGGGGTGATACATATTTTGAAAAACTGTTCATGCAGACACAGAATTCATTTTGAAAACCTCCAGAAGTCAAGCTAGGCTACTGAGAGTTGCTTCAATCCTGACATCTGCGGTGGCTGCAGCAGGTGTGCCAGAAGTTGAGGATAGGTTCGGTGGCTGTGAAGGACGCCCCCACTTCCCCTTCTCCGTGATTCTGTTCAGCACAACCCTTATTCTACCACTCTTTGGCCCTCAAGCCATCCAAATCTGACCAGTTCGTTGTACTGTACTGTATGGTTGTGGATCGCTACGGACCACTTGCCTTTTAAAATCCATTTAGTGTCAGCTTTTAATTGGTTAGAAGTTTGAAGGTCATTTATCATTCCATTTCTTTGGGCTTGTGGATCTAGAATTAGCAGAAGATATCAACACAGCTCATTTTAGGTCAGGAATTCTAACTTGAACTTTGATTTTTAAAGTAAAGGATACCTTTTATTCCACGATACTGAAAATTCGGAGTCGCCACCTCTGGAAACAAGCAGCTGCATGTTGTCCCAGTGGAAGGTCTTAGAGCCTCGGTTGCATAGCTCTGAGGTTGTACCCAGCTGGAACTCACTCAAACTTTACACAGCTTAAATTCAGGTCGAGGAGAGTCGGGGAAGAACAGGTGACAAGGGTCTTCAGCCCTTACCCAGCATGTCATCTGTCGAGCCAGTTGGGTAGCCTTCTCATCCTCTAGCATGGCACTCTTACCACTTAAAATGGGAGAAAATTGTGGGTCCAGTTTGCTGATCATAAAAGCAAAGAATTCAAGACATTAAGGTTGGACTGACAAACTTCTGAAATACGCCTTATTTTTAAAAAATATTTAAGGTATTTAGACAAGACGTGAGCATGATGACTTAGCTGCAACTGGATAAGTGGGCGCAGAGACCTGCCCTATCCTAGTTACCCCAAGGTGGAGCTCACCCCTCCCCCACCCTCCTACCTGCACTCAGAAGAGAAGCTGTTCTCTTAAAGCAGCTGAAGAGAGAGGAATCATTTCATTGTCAGTTGTATCTGCCAGAAAGTACCTCTTGTGCTGCCAAAAAGACCATTTTCACTTATTGTCCTATATTCTTTTGCCACAAAAATACAGTATCTTTAACAAAGGAAGCTATGATTGGCTGTAGTTCATGCTTATATAACCTTTTGTTAAAATTACCACTTTCTTTTTGGAAATGAAGAATGCACATTGGGTCACCATACTGAGTAATTTGACATTGAAAACCATTTTACAAACACAGCCTCCTCATTAAAAAAATGCCAAACAAACCCGACAAACCCAGCCATGGAGGCCGCCGCCAACATGGGCTTTTGTCTCTTGTTCCCAGCAGTAAAGACTCCTCTCCCACTCTGGCTTCTAAAGTGGACCAGCTGGAAGGGATGTTGAAGATGCTTCGGGAAGATTTGAAGAAGGTAAAAATGCATCCTCAAAGTAGATCTCCTGGTCTGTGCAAACTGCCCTTGAACTGTGAGAGCCCTTTTTAAGTAGTGTTAGTGAAATAAGAAGTGGATGTTTTCCCTTTTTTCTCGGTGTGCCCACATGTTTAGGGGGCTGCGTGGAGCTCAGTTCCCACTGACACGTATAGGGCGAGAAGGCCTTCATTGTTCCTTTTTTGTGAAGGCCTTGAACCTCAGCCGGCCCTCTCCTGGCCTCCCCGCCCCTCGTATAATGGGTCAATAGCCCAGGCCCACATGTCGTCATTGTTATTTGGGCTTCCGTGCCAGGAGACTTGCATCTTTTTTGTTTCTTGAGTGGCTTTATCTATATTAAGACAGCAGCCACCAAAATAGTAATCCAAAATTTAAGACGTTCCTTATTAACAAAGTCATTAAAATACATATAATGATTTAAGTATTTACATTCCAAAATAAACCTATAGTGAATCTCTCTGGAAATTCTGTTCCTGGGTTAGAGTATCCTGACACCCGGGACTGGGCCTTGTATACAGATGTTTAGTGCACTGAAGAGCAGAAGTGGGCGAAGGGTCCAGACAGATCCATAGCCACTCTTCCTAGCAGCCCAGCAAGTTGGGGCCACCCCTCTGAGTCCTTTTCTGTTCTGCCTCCCAGGAAAAAGAAGACAAAGCCCACCTTCAGGCAGAAGTTCAGCACTTGCGGGAGGACAACCTGAGGCTGCAGGAAGAGTCCCAGAATGCCTCCGACAAGCTGAAGAAGTTCACGGAATGGGTCTTCAATACCATAGACATGAGCTAGGGCAGGAGAGGGGGACGGGGGGCCCCCTGGTTGTACCGTTGGCCGCATTCTCGGGGCTCCCGCCTCCGCTTCTGGCTTGCCCTCTTTGGTGAGTGCACAGCAATTGCAGATCAACAATCATTATCTGCCTTTTGTAGAAAAGAAAAAGTAAAAATTTTAAAAAGTAAAATAAAAGTTTAACTGCTAAAATGTGAATGTCTTTATTTTTTGCACAATATCTGTTATGTATTTAAAAAGAAACCGGGCCTAGGACCAGGGGCCCCCCAAACCCCGGCCCATCTGCCTCTATTTCCATCAGCTCTTTGTTAAGTATTTCAGGTAACCCAAGCTTTCCCTCATTCTGACAAATGTCATTGTTCCTAAGGAAATAATTTTTTTTTAAATTTATTTGGGGAGTGGAGAGGAGATTTTCTTACCTTCCTTCCTAAAATGCCTGAGGCGGGAGGAGCTTTTAGAAAATGCCAACCTCCCTTGAGTGAGGAAGGCTGTTTGTACCTGTGTGAGACAGATTAGCAAGATCAGGGTTCTTTAACAATAGCAAGTCAGTGGACCAGAGAGAAGAGGTGGTGCCTGTGGGCCGTGCCCCTTCTCCGTCCTGTGTGACATCGCTCCCTCCACCTTCCTTTCTCCAGGGAGGTGGTCCCAGGTGCTATGTGCTTTTCAGAGCGAGAGCCCGTTCGGCTTAAGTGAATCCCACCAAACTGGAATCAATCTCTCTGTAGCTTTGTAGCTCCAAACAAATATTCGTATGCATTTTGGTCAAAAGTATAGTTTTTGTTCGAAATTTTTAAAGACGAGAATGTGGCAAAATTACGTTTTTAGCTCACTCAAAATGATCGTATTAATAAACTAATAAATCCTTGTCTGCAAAGCAAGATTTCACCCATATTTGTTACTAGGAAAAGTGAATGTTAAATTGTGAATTTCAATACTTGCCTGTTAGGAGCAATGACCGTGATAATAGAATGGGCTTTTGAAACCTGCATGTCCCAGTGTGCCAGTTAAGCACGGCATTCTCTGCATCCTGTTGTGGCCATCCAAAGGATTCTGCTGCAGAAATGGCTGATGTGCCATCTTTTTCTGTCTAGTGATGCAGCTGCTTTGGGCCCCCGGCCATTGTTCCAAGGCCCTCAGTCCCGCAGAGCAGAGACATTGGGCCCACCAGTGTTTAGGGACCCCAGGGGAGCCCCTGGTGGCCCTCTTTCTAGCCTTTATAACTGTCACTAAACTGACAACTGTGCCCCTTCAGTGGCAACTCTCGTCTAGCGGGGGAACGTTCAGCAATCTAGTGTCATCTGCCTGGATGTTCCCTGCCCCAAGTAATCCCAACTCATTCCTCTCTCCTGATACGTTGTCCTCTCTTCTCCCCCACCCATGCCGCCAGACTTTTATGCTACAGTTTCATTCATGATTGCGATTTCTCCATGGGATTTTTTTTTTTCTGGTGACATTTCTATCATGGAAATAGAAAGATTTCAGAGTGCTTTGTAAAGATCTCACTTGTCTCTCTCTTTGACTTGTATGAAGGAGATTGTACATTGCCTGATATCTCTTTGTAAATGAGAAATATCACTAACATCCAAGCATTCTGAAGGCTTGCTTATCCTTCTGAGTTTAGTTTTTAGTTGGTTTTATATTTTGTTTGGGGACTTGGGGCAAGCTATTTATTAGAGTTTTGCAACAGAGTTCTTGTTTGAAGCCTTTAAAGACTACTTGTAAAATTCAAACAATAAAATTCATTTTAAACGCTCTTTTAAAACACATTGGTATTATTGCTTGAGGCTTTTTTATTTGAAAGACCACCCAGTAACTCACTGACTCTGATGCATCCTAATCTCTTCCTTAGGCTCCATTAACACTTAAGGATGATTCTTGAAAATTTCTGGCCCTTTAAAATTTTAATAAGCTTTTTTTACTGTTTATATGTCCTTAGAGAATTCCTAATTTGCCTTCTCTGCTTAGGATATAATATTTGCAGAGCACTTTATAATTAGTTCTCTCTTCATTATCCATGTGTGGATTTGCCATCATAACATTGTCATTCCCTGAGACCAGCACATTTTTGGACTGCCTCTGCTGTGTCCCTCAATTCTCAATGCCAGATATGGTGTACCCAGGGAATACAAATGCCAGTTAATATTAGACTGTGCAAAATATAATTAGAAAAGTTAATCTACTGGAAAAATACTGCATTCCAAAGCCAAAATTTTTAAAATCTGCCACGTCATTGTTCCTCTCCAGTAGTGCAGCTAATTGAGAGCTGATGGTAGAGTTTCTTTTATTTGGTTCAACAATTCTACAAATTTTAGAATGAACAACACAAGGTAAGAATGGATGCTGCAAGATAACTCTGATTAGCAAGCTAAACGGGTCTGTTTAGACAATGATTCTTACCTGGTTTGGAGGGTTTCTGCATTATTTCTGGAGGGTTTGGGCCTCAGTTGGGAGTTCCTGGGCCTACATTGATGGAGGATCTTCATTCAGGGGTTGACTAGAGGGGCCAGTTGGTTATTCTTCGAATCCGATGCAGGTTATAAACAGATTGGGTTGAGTTGGATTAATAACTTTGGATGGGGATAAAAATGATAGTCCAAGGGCCAAGGAAACAGGTCCAGCAAGCTTGAGTCATTTGGCCCTAGTTACACGTAGAACAATGTCCTGAACAGGTTCCGATCTCACAGTAGACACAGTCCAGCAGCAGTCTGGTGCTGCTTCCCCAAAATGAACAAAACTGAGATTAAAGTGCAAGATGGTATACCTCGGTCAGAAACACGTAACAAGACTTGGGCATTGTTAAAGGTGAACTGTGTTATTTTAAAAGAATGATACCACAGTAATGTTGGATACCTTATGCCATTATGCCATTAATGACTGTCCATTATGCCATTAACGACTGTCCATACGGAATTATCATACTCTGATAAAAAAGACAAATATTTGACTTAGACCAGGACTCAAATCCCACCATTATGTAGCAGTGTCTAGGTAAATTACCACATCTCTTTGAGCTTGGTTTACTCATCTGGTCAAATAGTAAGATCATATGTTATTTTAAGGATTAAATGGGGTCATATGTGTAAAGCCAGTGACTGGCAAATTGAGAACACTCAAACATGTCTCCCCTTAACCCAGCATCTCTAATATGTTAAGCCTTTTATATTGTTTTTCTAGGAAGAGTCCTGACATATTAATAGTTTGGATGGAAGAGTCAGAATAAGCTTCTCTACTCTGCTTAATATCGATCAGGTGCTTTTAACCCCTTGCTATATACTTTAGAACAGTGATTCAAACTTGAGCTGACACCAGAATTACCTAGAGAGTTTGTTAAAACACAGGTCACTCAGCCACACCCCCAGGATCTGTGACTTAGCAGGTCTGAGAATTTATATAGAATTTATATTTTCTACAATTTCCCAGGTGTTGATTTAGAAGCAGGGATTTTGGAGAATAGGGTTAACAGGAGGCTATCCATACCCATTAAATAGACACTACAGTGCTACACTTAACTATTCCACTTAGGTATGTCCAGATATCTGAGTATTATTTTGATAGGTTAACTGACCACAGAGCACCTCACAGCAGGAAATGCTTAAATTATAAAGTCAGGTAAAATAATTTTTTTTTTTTTTTACCAAAAAGGTAATTTTGAACTTTTGCATGCAACTTTGTACCACTTGACTATTTTAATTCCTGTGATACCTGGACAGGACTTTTATTGATAAGAGCCTAGTTACTAGGTCAGCAAAGAATGACCTTAGTAATCTTGGACAGCTGACAGTTTGGATGACTGCGCTGCTGAGGAAAGCAGGACCTGGAATGGCAGTGGAAGATGTTTGTCAGGCCCACAGTGTATGGCCACCCAGTAATAATAAGGCTGGGAGACCTGATCCCAGGCTAGGAGTGAATTCCAGTCACTGACTTCCAAATCCAGCTGAGCTGACTTATCTCAGTCTCCAAGAACCTATCCAACCTCAAAGTTACTAGACAACCAGATTTTCCCAACTGCTCTCATGCCTTCCCCAAACTGCTAAGAAATCTTGACTTAGAGGCGAGTCCAAGACAGCAGAGTAGAAAGACCCCAAACTCAACTCCCCACAAACACCAAATACACGACTATATATACAGCAATTCCTCCTGGACAACAACTGAGGGCTGAGTAAACAGCTTCTGCACAGCAAAGAAGAGAGGCCACAGAGAAGGGTAGAAGAGGTGGAAATATATTAACCAGGAGGACCCTACCCCAATGGGGCAGCTTGCAGTAAGGAGGGATATAACTGAGGGGCCCTGTGCAGACTTACCTGCCCTAGCGCATAGCAGTAAAACTGCTCTGTCCTGCGGCCACTCCAGCTCCAGTCAGCTGACCTACCAGAGCCCCCTGGAGCCACACACCTCAGGAAACCTTGGCCCACACCAGCCCCAGCTCTAGCCAGCTGACCCGCCAAGGCACTCCAGGCACCATGAGTGACCATTTATGCTCTAATCAGCCTGTCAAAGCCACTTGGTACACACAGCCTACACAGAGGTCACTCCTACACAAACTCACACTGTGATCAGGAGAGGTAGCCATGTCATCTAATTAATAGAAACAAATGAAGTAATCAGAAGAAATGAGACAAAGGAGTATGTTCCAAATGAAAGAAGAAAAACAAAAACAAAAAAAAACCCTAATGAATTTGAGATAATTTGCCTAACAGAGAATTCAAAGTAATGGTCATATGGATGCTTACCAAACTTTGGAGAATAAAGGAACACAGTGAAACATTAACAAAGAGTTAGAAAATATCTTTAAAAAGAACCAATCAGAGCTAAAGAATACAATAACTGAAATGAAAATACACTAGAGGGAATCAACAGTAGATTAGGTAATATAGAAAAATAGATTAGCAACAGGAAAACAAGAGTGGAAATCAATCAGAATAACAAAAAGAAGAAAAATTTTTTAAATGAGCATAATTTAAGGGACTTCTGGGAAAACATCAAGCATACTAACATTTACATGATAGGAGTACCAGAAGTAAAAGAGAGAAAGGGGCAGAAAACCTATACTGGCTGAAAACTTTTCTAACCCGGGGAAGGAAACAGGCATCTAAGACCAGGATGCACTGAGAGGCCCAAACAAGATGAACGAACCCAAAGAGAGCCGCATCAAGACATGTTATAATTAAAATGGCAAAAGTTAAAGGTAAAGAGAATCTTGAAAGCAGCAAGAACAAAATAACTACCTCCATCCTTCGATTTACATGGGTTTTTTTTTTTACACAAATTCTCGCCCCATCCCACCCCCACCGTTTACGTGGACTTTTTATACAGTTTCCATTTACATGGTCTGATTTTACATGGTTCTTTTTCATTTCCATTATTTGCGATTACTCTTTCTAAAACACAAAAGCTTGACTCAGCAATGTACAAAGAATACTAACATAATTATTAAAGATTTTCCCATTCATTGGATAGGAAATAAAAAAGCATGGATGACTACTGATGTTTTTCGGTTTTGGTTTTACAAATGTTTTACTGAGAAGCTGAAAACTATATGAAGGAAAAATGTCTTCCTATTAAAATACTTTTAGATAATACACTTGGTCACCCACACAATTTAGAACATCCAAATATAAAAGTTGTATATTTGCCACCAAATACAACCTCCTAGATCTAAACTTTAGATCAAGGCATTATTTCCACCTTTAAGATTAATCATAGTAAATGAAGTTTTAAAGATATTTTTAATAAACTTGAAGATAGTGAATCACAGTGACAGAAGCCTGGAATGAATACACAATTTTAAGTTGTATCAATATTGCTTTAGCTTTGTGTATAAAGCCATCAACTTCAAATGCTTTCAGGAAAGCAATATGGCCAGAAGTGGCTGTACCAGGGAATATGGTTCCAACAACTGAAGAGGGATTAACTGGCATTATTAATTTATTAAATTTCAAGAAGAAGGCTCTGACAATTTGAATGTGGATGATATGAACAAATTATAGGCCAATAGCTCTGATGATGCAAAAATCCTCAACAAAATATTAGCCAAATTCAATAATACAGTAAAAGGTATTACACCATGGTAAAGTAGAATTCATTACAGGGGTACAAGGATGGTTCAACATCTGCAAAATCAATATGATATACTACATTAACAAAATAAAGGATAAAAATGTGATCTCAAGTGATGCAGAAAAAAAACATTTGACAGAATTTAGCATCCATTTATGATAAAAGCTCTCAACCAAGTGTGTATAGAGGAAATATACCTCAATATAATAAAGGCCATATATGAAAACACATAGCTAACATCATAGTCAATGGTGAAAACATGAAAGCTTTTCCTCTAAGGTCAGAAAGAAGACAAAAATGTCCACTCTCACCACTTTTATTCAACATACTATTGTAAGTCCTAGCCATAGAAGCACTCAGGAAAAAGAAATAAAAGGCATCAAAATTGGAAAAGAAGTAAAACTTATTATTTCCAGATGATATGATATTATATGTAGAAAATACTGAAGACTCCACCAAAAAAACTGTTAAATGAGTTCAGTAAAGCTGCAGGATACAAAAATCAATACACAGAAGTCGGTTGCATTTCCATTCATTATAACAAACTATCATAAATTAAGAAAAGAATCCCACTCATGATTTCATCAAAAGGAATATAATACCTAGGAATAAGTTTAACTAAGGAGGTGAAAGCCTGCATACTGGAAACTATAAGATATTAATGAAAGAAAGGCACGAATGGAAAGATATTCCATGC